ACATGATGAAGAGAGAAGTCAACATAGGCGCAGGCTGATAAAAATCCTACTCAATGATCGTGAACGGTGGTGTGTAAGGAAAACGAGAGAGATTGAAAAGGCAGTGGTAATAAGCAACATGAGACCACTGTTTAGACTTATCAAGGAAACCGGTATTAGGAATCCGAAGGTTAGTAAGACTATTTCGGCAAAGGATTAGATTATTATTCATCCACAATCGAAGAGATTGGATCGATGGGCAGAACACTATAGCGATCAGTCCAACTGGCCTTCAGTGACACTTCGGTTGCCTACTATCTCCAATCAGCCTGCATGGCAAATAGACGTAAGTCCTGTGAATCTTTATAAATTTGAGAAAGCTATGATAAATTTAATGATTAGACTCCTTACTAAAGCTCGATACGTACGTACATCAGTTCAGTAAGCCATACCACATTAGCACACAGTGGCAATTGTCACTTCAACTCCCATAATAGTAGATGTAGTAGAAGTATGTGTAGTAATCGGAGAGATTAGGGTTGGAGGATATTATGCAAGACGTATAATTCAGCGAAAAAAAACTTAAAATGAGAAAGATGATGTAGAATCCAGAGGATAAGGATTTGAGAGAAGCCAAAGAATGAATGCACTTGCACCATTACGTTTATTTTTAAATAAACATTTGGATAAGAATTTCTTCAGATTTCCTGTGAAATCTATGATTGATATATTTCCACCATAATGAAAATCACAACATTGTGTCATAATGAATGATATCGGGCGTACTACCAGGCAACTTAACCACCCAATAAGTGAACATTTCCCAGCATGGTTTCAGAACGGTCAGTCAAAAATAATACGCATTTCTATCTTAGCACACCTGGTTGATAGTGGTCATATTGTAGACAAGTTTAGATCTTTTCGGGTGATCTATCGTATGCCTCAATTATTTCCCAACTCAGTTCGATTCCGTCTCCTACACATTGTAGAAGCCATAGGAATTTGTACATTCAACCCCAATTTAAGTGTTCAGAAGAAATTCGTGACACCCCTATCGCTTCCGTGGCCGGATATGACGTTATTAACGATTAAAGATTTAAAATATATTTTTTTCTTTCTGGGTTTAAATTTTCTTTTGTTATTATTAGAATGATTTTCACATCCTGCATTTGTTAGTAATTCTCTGCCTCTTTCCGTTTACATTCTTCATTATCTAATTATGTACATTCTTCTTGATACATAATGATTTTATTGTTTTGTAATCACTATTTTAAGTCTATTTATCCACGATTGACCTACTATTGATACAACTTTTGTTAATCGTATTTTATTGTTCTTACTACCATCAGTACACCTCTGTCTTCCTACTACCCACTTGTACTTTTGCTTATTATGTGTGTAGTGACGTAATCTCTATTTCATTTCATTGTGAATATGACTCAAATTGCCTTGATTGGTTTAACTTTTCCATATATAAATATTCATGTACATATGAGAAAGTAAAGTCTGATGACGATCTAATCAAAAACAATATTTTGATAGAACAGTGGGAAGACGTAATTGATCTGAAAAATGTGATGTATTTGCGCTATACATTTCGAACAATCTGGTCGCACATATTTATTTGTCAAGGCATTTTATATGAAGATGAATAAAAGGTCAATTAAATAAAAGTTCAATTAGACATAAGGTGATAATTGTAAATAAAGGAGAGAGAAAATTAACGTAATATGAAAAGAATAAGAAAGGGTAGGAAAATTGTTACATTACCATAGGCTTAACGATTACCAAGGTAAATTCAAGGTTATGACAAATTGGTTCTGCACACATAAGGGGGATTTTAATTTTCTAATAGCCAAGGCCTCTATAAACCTCAAAATTCGTCCTTCAACATTTCTATACTATGTTTTGAAGGCTGTCCTGATGTCAATCTTATGCCCTATCTCAATTATGTGTTTGGCGATCGATGAACATGGTTTTCTATTTCCAACGTTAATCGGCTCATCTAACGTTAACTGATTTTGAAACCACTTAGGTACATGTTCCGCAAACCTTACTTGAAATGACCGATTACTCTTCCCTATGTATGTGTGTCCACACAAACATGTAAATTGATAAATACAATGGGATGTGATGTAATCATTAGAGCAACGTTTAGGTATATGCGAAATCATGGACTTGGTCTTTTCAATGATAATCAGTTTAGCAGCGTTGTATGTTTTCTATATGGCTGCTGTTAGTCTCTGTCTTATTATTAGACCATTTGCTTCGCCTCTAAATGGTAAAGTGATATAAACCTTTTTCTTTTCGGCAGAATCAAACACTTGCTTTTGTCTTATCTGATTTCTACATCTATTGATGAACTTTAGCGTATGGCCATTTGAAATCAATGCTTCAGTTAAGAATTTTGCATCGTCGTCAAATGTATCCGTGGTGCAAATCCTTTGTGTCCTATTGAAGAGGCATTTTACTAAACCTCGCTTGTGTTGCAGTGGACAAAATCTGTTGAAATTTAGGTACTGTCCAGTCCACGTCGGCTTTCTATAAACAGATCGCTTTGTAGTTCCATTATCTCTTCGGCTCAACAATATGTCTAAAAAAGGCAACCGATTATTATTTTCTGGTTCATGAGTTAGTACAATGTCATTCTGAAGACTATTGAAATTTTCCAGTAACTGGGAGACGTTAAGTTCTTTATCACATATCATTAAAATATCATACATATATCTCCTATAGAGAGTAAGCTTATTAATGTGCTCATTCCACAAATTTTCAGCATATGCCATGTAAACATCAGCTAAGAGAGGTCCCAAAGGACTACCCATAGCAATGCCATCAACTTGCTGGAAATGTTTATCATCAAACGTGAAATGAACTTTCTCAGTACATAATAAAATTAATTCTCTTAGTAGACTTGACTGAATGGGAAAAAGGAGGAAATTACTTAATGTCTAGTCACAAAGAAAGTTAACAGTTTTTATTAGGGGAACATTGGTAAAAAGAGAGTTTACATCAAAAGAATGCATAGTCTTTTCTTTGAATATTAATGTCATCAAGAACACCAATTAGTTCAAATGTATCTTTCAGGGAAAACTTACACAATTTATTACGAATTGGGCTTAGGTAATTTATTGTTCGCTTATATCTGTGTTGTTCTAATTTTCACGATGGGAATCTTTCATATTGAAAGATGTGTTTGTGGAATGTCATCGGTCAATGGAGGTCAGTTGTACAAATTGTTTAATGTACATCAAGTAGTTTGAAATTCAACAATGAGGCTGTCTATGTGTATTAATCAAGAACCTCATATTATTATGGAACATATGTTCATTAGTTCCCGGTTCCAATAATTCAGAAGCCTTAGATTAGTCTATAACAGAAACTGTAAAATCCCGGTAATCTCTAAAAAATCTTCTGCGTAGAAAGATTTAGTTAAAAAGTTGACTTAGAATCTACCGATAGCGTAGTTCTACTTGGTGAAGACAAAGTCAAAATGCAGAGCCTTCTGACTAACCTAAGCAATATTGTAAGCATGTTCGGCATGTGATTCTGTCCGTCGAAATGCGAAATGTTGCTTCAAGATTGACTTGCGTAGCCACTTGAAACAGTAATAGGGAGTAAAGCAGCTAAGCACGCAAACAGCCTCACTTATCTCAGGAGTCACATCAGTGCTGATGGTCCTTGTGTCTGATGAGATCTCGGCACACATACAGAAAGCTCGATGGACTTTTAGCAACTTGCGTCACTTATGACGTAGTTGAGATATTCGTTTGCTAATCAAAGGACGAGTGTACTGCTGAGTAGTTCGCTCCGTTCTCCTTAATGGATGCGATACATGGTCAGTCAGAGTAGAAGATATTCATAGGTTGCTGCTATCGATCACAGGTGTCTTCGAAGCATCGCTCATGTATCCTGGAACCAGCGAGCAAGCAATGCTGCTGTTAGGTATCGAGTACTAGATAAGGACGCCAGATCAATTGATGAAGTAATGAAACTTCATCAGCTGAGGTGTTTGGGACATGTGTTACGAAAGCCCAACCACCGACTGCCGCGACTAGCGATGCTTTGTGGTGTAGGAGTAGGTTAGAAGAAAGCTAGGGACAGACGAACGAAAACAGAAATCCATGAAGTCACTGACAAGTGGACTGAGACATGTTGGTTAATGTAGACGACGTGGTTGGGGTCCTCGAGACGATAGTGATCGATGGTTAGAGACCAGGAATGATACGGATCAAAATAGTTTGCTATGGCGCAGATGCATCCATTTTTGTGATCTCCCAAAACCTAACCTTCTGAATTCCTCATTACCTTGATCGTTTTCTTTTAAAGTTTATTTAAGTAGATAATAATTCATGAATAATATCTTACCTACTTACTTACTTACGCCTATCACCCTAATAGGGCATAGGCCACCGACCAGTGTTTTCCAACCTACTCATTCCTGGGCTTCCCTTTCACATTCTTTCCACTTTTTATTCATTCTTCTCATATCTTTCTCTATTTGTCGGCTTAGTGTATTTCTTGGCTTTCCTTTTTTCTTTTTAACTTGAGGGTTTCAAGTGCTGGCTTCTCTTGAATAATATCATGAAACATTATTTTCTCCGATTACTGCTAATACTTCTACTGCCTCTATTATTATGGGATTTGAAGTAACACTTGTGTCTCCGTGCTAATATCGTTGTATAGCAGCCTAGGGTGAATTTTACGTTGTTACTGTCTTAATGTCTGACTGACTCATTTTTCTATGTTTGTACACTTAACGCCTATTCAGCACTCGTATACCATTTTACTTCCGTTTCGAATACCGATAGTCTTGTGATCTATTTTCTTCCACAATAAACGTAATCAATACTTCGTATTTGTCTCCTGCATTGTATACACTGTTGAGCTTTGCTTAGTAAACATTATCAGGATGCGCAGTACAGGATGTCCAAGGAATAATATCAAATACCGACCGCCACAGAACTGATGAGCCGAAATTCACCACAAGACAAGCATATATCTATTGAAATCTTGTAAATCAAGAAATCTCATTTTTTTTAAAAATTATTATAAGTAGTGTAGATGATTTTTATTTAAAAAATTTAACAGGAAAAATAATTCGGATAAAATCTACTGTCAAATAACATGAAACAATTATTAGATTAAGTTTGCACAGGAAAACCAATAAAATGAAAATGAAATATTAGTAAATTTTAATCAAAAACTTTACATGTATATTTTTGTTTAAATCATGTTAACAGTTTGAACAGTTTGTTGCCAATGCAATCGAGACAAATTACCAACATTTTTTGAATTAGCGGTATTTGAAATGTTGACACTGAATAACTGTTACATGGATGCATTGTTTCTATCCGATTGATGGTTTATAATCGTTGTAGCGACCAAATAAATCGCTTTGAATACAGCGAATGCGAAACAAACATAGATTACGATCATTTCGTATTTATATACGTATTCAGTTAGTACATCAGCACAACCCTATCACAATAGAAAGCAAAAAAAGTAAAAATCCATACAATTTTGTAAGTTATATCATTGAGTTGGTCAGTTAGTCGGTCAGTCAGTCATTCAGTCAGATACAACGATTTTCAGTCACGTAATTCAAGGTCTCTAACCATTAGTTATGCTGGTGTCGCGGACATCAGCCGGCCAGTCTATGTCGACTAATATTGCTTATTTCATTTGTCAGTGACTTCATGGATTTAGGTCATGTTTTGAACTAGACACCCATAACCTACCCCACACTAAACATCATTACTGACCGAGGCAGTCGGGGGTTGACGATACGTAACACATGTCCGAACTAACTCAACTGATGAAGTTTCAATACTTCATCTATTGATCCGCCATCCTCATCTAGTAATCGTTTCCTAAAGACAACATTGCTTACTCAGTAATCCCAGGATGTATGAGCAATGTTTCGGAGACACCTATGATTGAATACTGTTAACCTATGAATATCGTCAACTGTTACTGGCCATGTTTCGCAGCCATATAGTAAGACGGAGCGAACTACTGCAAAAACACTTGTCTTTCGATTAGCAAACGGATATCTAGCCTACGCCATAAGTGACGCAAGTTGTCAAACGTCAGTCGATCCTTTTGTATATGTGCTGAGATCTCATCAGACACTAGGACCATCAGCACTGATGAGACTCCTAAGATAACTACTTCTTCATTAAGCCATAACTGGAAACTCAAAATTGATCACATTGAAACATTTTTTTATTTCTAACATCCCATTTAACATAATTTCCAACTTTTACGCCAGCTAATAAAATGCTGAAATCGAACTTACCTAGGAAGAATGTCGTAAAAATTTAAAGAATATCGATGTTTACTAAGGTTGCCATAGAAATGGAGAGCGATAGTCCACTGCTTACAGTACCTAATAACCGATTCGTAGGCTTTGGGTTCAAATCCGACTCTGATTATTTGAATAAAGTCGTTGACAGGGTGGTATCGTCACCGGAAACTAAGATATGATCTTAGTGAGTGGTTTGTTGTTTTTCAAACAACACATATTGAAAATGATGCAGAATGTGTTTTGTTTTTAAAAACTGAGTTTGTTCGATTCACAGATTGCTTCATTTTTTTAGTTGTACTAAACGAAATTGTCAGTTTTATTGATCCATGTGATATAATGACTTTTAGGCTGATCATCCAGTTAGACAATGAAATGTTTCGATTCCATATACTATTCATATAAATAATTAGCGAAAATGTCGAGTCAACTCGTTTTGTTTTTAATATTCACTAGTGTATATATATAATCAATATACCTATCCTGTCACATGTAGTTTGTAATCGATGGGTCTGTGTTTCACTACGCGATCCAACACTTGTATGTTTCATCCTGTTTAAGATTGATTCATCAGCTCAATTCTATAAGTATTCGGTTATTGCAAAGAAAAGATACACTCGGAAATTCTTATCGCTAGCCATAAACTAACTAATCTTGACTATCATTGTTATCTAATAGTTCTATTTATAATAAACCACACACATATAGCGCATCCATGAGTAAACACTGTTTGTAATTGAAGCTATAAGTATCAACATAAAGCTGACCAACTTGTCTAACTGTCATGAATTAATGTTTTTTTTAAACTGATTTCAAATGTGTAAAAACGCAAACCTCCAAAAACTGTGCCCCAATATATCGTAACAGTGCTCACTAGTGACTAGCTTCGTGAGTAAATTCTCGGAGTTCTAGTTGAGAAGACGTGACCAGTGGAGTTCAACCCTGTCGTTTGCAGGCAGTAACTACCAAAGACAAATGGGTGAGGTCACGCAAAATCCCTAGATCAATCAGAGTTAGACATTAACACCGTTGGGGCCTGGCCCAGTGGTCCGATGGTAAGGCGTTCGCCTACAATGCCAAAGGTCCCGGGTTCGAATCCTGCGAGGAGCAGGAGTCGTGGATGCGAACTGCTGAGGAGTCCCATACTAGGACGAGACGGCCGTCCAGTGATTCCAGGTCTCCAATGTCGGTCTAACAATGATGATTGACTAATGATTTCAAATGTGTATAAAAAGGAATCAAACATTACGAACTTACCTTAGAATAAATTATATTTCCTTGTTTACAAGAGAACGGTATACTCTCTTTACCATAATCAGTGGATGCTTTAACTCCACAACATTGAAACTGAAAGCATCAAAGAAAAATTCCAATTAAACTAATTAGTACATTTAAACAAAACACTGAGAGGGCGAGAAAAAGAGCGAGCTAGAGCGAGAATAACTTACAACTCTGTATAGATTATCAATTTGATTTTCATACATTGGATGTTTACAATAATATTTCAATGAATTCCATAAAGTACGATTCATTTCAGTGAAAAACTAAAAAAAATTTAAATTTATTCTTCCAGTTCAATTGTCTTATTGAAACTAACTTGATCACTGGACACAGAGGATTTTATTGAAATGCCAACTTCAATGATTGTTGCAATTGTCAATCCAATAATATGCTAATTATTAAATAGTGAAAAGAAATTATAACTCAATGAAGATTGTGAAATTTTACCGATATAATAAAAATATTCCTGGTATTCCATAATCCTACAATTCCAACCGAAACAGCTAATATACCAAGAATTCCTGTCACGATAACAATTGGAAAGATAACTGGTGCTGCAATATCCAAAACCATGCTATAATTCGACAGAACATCCAGTACTCGACTAGCTAATCCGATTAACGTAGCACTGAATATCTGAATGGAAATTTTTATTTTTTTTCAATGTCATTTGAATTTGAATGTGACTTACAATTAAAATAATATTTGATAGAATAAATATATCTTTCCAATGAGTTTTTACTTCTGTCAGGTACATGATTGCTTTTTAACACAGAGTTAATGCAGAATGGAATTCAAACTGAAACAAATAATTTTTACTACAATTTGATTCTAATGTTCTGAGGTTTAAACTAGTAAATACTTTATAAATATTGATAAAATAGATTTATTTGCGTTGTTTTTTATTGTTTTAATGAAATTGTAGGTTGTCAAAAATTGTAGCAGTTCAATATCATTCGTTAAAATTTTGATACACATGCACACATACGCACAAAAGAATGTGGTACTATAACAAATGTACTGTTATTAATGAAGTAATATTTTCACATGTTAGTTAGTGTTAGACAGAGGAGAGAGAAAAAATACATTTGTGCAACAATTAAACAGTGTGAAATATTTCTTTGATTTCTATATCTGTAGCAATGAAAGTAGTTAGTATTTTAAGCTTGTGAGTAGTTGAAAAGAGATTAACAAAATGTGCTCATTGGTGACTGCTAGCTTCGGGAAAAAATTCACGAAGTTCTAGCGAGAAGACGTGACCAATGGAGTTTGGCCCTGTAGGTAGTAACTATCGAAGATAATGAGTGAAGGTGCGCTAAAATTGCTTAGATTGATCAGAGTTAAATATGAACACCAGCGGATGCCAACTCTGTAATCCAGAGGTTCAGCTTTCCATCGTGCAAGACCGAAGGTCCTGAGTCCGAATCCAGTGATTAGCAGGAGATGGGAATGTGCCCTACTGATGAGTTCCATACTAGGACGAAACGGTCTTCTAGTGCTTCCAGGGTTCTGGTGGTGGTCGAACATTGATCATTACTTTATTTTAATGTAAAACAACGATCTAAATTATTCTATAATGCAAAAATCATCAACAAAATCAGATAATAAGTATTTCATGAATTGATAATTGCTGTCATGCACTGTTTAACAGTGACTATTGCATTTCTGTTCTGCACACATTTCTTCGTTCGTATTGATTGTTTGCATGTTCTCATTATTGATTACGATTACAACTGGGATATGCTTGAAACTATTAGGAGTTCACCGTAGTCGGTAAACGGAATGAAGAGAAATGACTTAGTGACACGATAGGCTACTCTAATACGATTGTTCCAGTCCCCACAAAATACAAGGTTGATAAGCACACAGATCGAGTTTACTTATATATAGAAACGCCCTTGGAAGAGCCACAAAAATAACGCACTAAAATAACCTATCAACCAATGACAGTGAAGGATTTCCCGAGTAGGAAATGTACACTCAAGGTAAAATGAGCAGCATATCCGGGAAAACACAAAATATCCAAAATTAGGACCTTGTCCAAGTGAGTTCTGGGTATCTAACGTCCCCGACAAATTGATGATTCACATTCGTTAAATGTGCATCCTGAACGGATGATTGTGGAGTGATCAGTAAAATGGAACTCACCACTCTACATCAAGTTCACTGATACGTGGACAGGAAAACACTGGAAGCTTTTTACACATTATAACGTGTCTGAGAAGATAGTCAACATAATACTGAATTCTTGCAAAGGATTAAACTGCAAACTCATGCATGGAGGATAGCTGACAGACTCGTTTGAAGTGAAGACGATTGTCAGACAATATTGCTTACTATCATCCTTTCTCTTTCTTCTGGTGATCGACTGAATTGTGAGGACGACAACAACTTGGAGGAAAGCTAGGACGCGGCTAGACGAACAAGACTTTGCAGTTGATCCGGCTCTTTTATCGCAAATGCATCAACAAATGCAAGATAAAGAGACCAGTGTTTTAGCAGCCTAAGCAGCAGTAGGGAAAAGCAAGATCCTCCGAAAGAACACAACAGGCAGCAACCAAACACAGTTGATGGAGAGGCTTCGGAGGATTTAAAAACCTTTACATTTCTGGGTACCATCACTGATGAGCAAGGTTGATCTGATACATTTGCGGAGGCGCGGGCCAGGAAAACAAGGGCAACATTTCTACAACTGAAGAATATCTGAAACTCCGAACAAATATCAATTAACAACAAAAGCAGAATTTTCAATACAAATGTCAAGACAGTTCTACTGTATAGAGTGGAACCTTGGAGAACTAGGTAAACCATCATCCAGAAGATACAAGTGTTTATTAACAGTTGTCAATGCACAATACTTCGGATTCGTTGGCCAGATACTATCAGCAGCAACCTACTGTGGGAGCGAACAAACCAGATTCCAGTGGAGGAGGAACTCAGGAGGAGACGGTGGAAGTGGATAGGCACCGAACTGCGTCACAAGACAAGCCCGCGCATGGAAACCTCAAGGTGAAAGGAAAAGAGGAAGGCCAAGGAATACATTAGGCCGAGAAATATATAAAGAAATGAGGAGAATAAACGAAAACTGTGAATAAGTAAAAATGGAAGCCCAGGATAGAGTTGGTTGGAGCAAACTAGTTGTCGGCCTATGCTTCTTCATTGGTGGTAACAGGCATAGGTAAACAAGTAAGTAATGTCAACTTCAATCAACTTTATTATTCTGAAAATATTCAACGAAAACAGTTCAATTTATTGAATAGATTTTCGTCAATTTATTTTGTAGATGGAATCCACAACC